CCCCCCCCCCCCCCTTTGGCAAAACAAATGTTTGGTGTTTTCATACATCATTACTTCAAAGTATTTTAAATAATGCACCAAATGACTCATTTGGGATCAATGTCCCAAAGTCCGAAGCCAGATTGTTTTCTTTTCCTAGGAGATGCTAAAACAGTAATTCTTACAGCTCTGTTGCTTTTGCAGACCAGTATTTAGTTTTGCTTTATTAAATGGATACACATGAAAGGGATCGGCTCTTGTCTGCTCTCTCTCACTCTAAGGGAGTAGGAATATCGCTGCTGAATAATTTTTCTTGAAAAAGCCAAGCGTTGGTATGATGATACACGGATCATATCTATGAGCAAGGTCTTCACTACAGGGCAAGCAATAATTCCTAGAGCTGGCTTTTTAAACTATTTTAATATTATTGGGCTACAATATAAAAAGAACTTTTTAAATTCTTTACTTTGTATAGGGAAAGATCTGTATGAATGAAATGATCGAATTTTAATTTTCATGCCTACACAGTGCCAACGTAAGGCATGATTTTTTTTTAACAATTAGAGAAACTAGGAAACAAATCTCAAAGAAATGTCGTGTTTGTAAAGGTAATACAATTCAGTCAATTGTCTTTCTTAAGGAAAATGCTATTAGGTGTATACTATACTTTGAGTTGGCGGTAGCCTTTATTTAGCATTCTCCATGATCTTTGAAGCAAACATAAGCTGAATTTGTGACCTTATTACAGGGTATATAATTTCACAAAATGCCTTGGGCATGAAGTATTTATAAAAGGAATTGTGGGTTAAAATACTCAAGTATGCTTTTTAAAATTTAGCTGAAATGTCGACGCCTGTCTCTTTTTCCTTCTGTGCAATTCAGCAGAGAATACTTGATTCTTGTAGCCATTACCTTTGTCTGTGATGAAAACTTCAACTGCTTCTGTGCTCGAGACCAAACCAGCCAAAGCAGCAGCGACTTGCTCCGTCTCAGGCCGCGCGAAGCGCTCTGTTGCTCAGTGGTGACGCGAAGGTGCAGCACTGACTTATTGGAGATAATCATGAGAACATTTTAACGTTACTTGCCTTATAAGTTAGGAAAGGTGTATCATTTTTTTGTAAATAATGATTTTTACCAACAGTTTTTTCTTTCATAACTTTTCCAATCACCCACTTCACAGAATCCTGAATATTCCGTTATTTATCGCGGCACATTACTGCAACTAGGGTTCCCAGTTTCAGAACAGAGTTTCATTATACGTGTGAACAAGAAGAAATATCTGAGTGATTGTTTAAATGTGATTTTTTTTCCCCTGAAAAATAAATGAAAAACATAAAAATAAATTCAGCTGTGAACCTCTTTTATTACCAGCCTCTTAAAATTTTGCTCACATTTCTAGAAAACTTTATTGCAGGTTTAGGGTGGGCAAGGTCAGAAAAAGGCCTGGCACCGAGCGAGGGCTTTGGAGCGGGACAAATCCCAGCTCTATAATGTAACGATGGACTTGAGCATGTTACTCAGTGATTCTTCATTTCCTTATCTATAAAAAGGAGGCCCCGGGGAGCCCAGCTGGTTAGAGTGTCATGCCCACATGCCAGTGGGTTTGGGCATCTGTCGGCGCATACAAGAAGCAACCAGCCAAAGAATGCAAAAATAAGTGGAACAACAAATCGATGTTTCTCCTCTCTCCACTGCCCCTCCTCTCTCTAAAATAAATTTATAAAAAAGAATAGTTACTAATGTCCCATTGTCATAGGGTCATTGAACAGATGAGATAATCGTTATCCGTCCCCTACCCCTTCTTACCTAGTGCATGGTAGATATTCAATAACCCTTTCCCGGTTTTATGTGAATAGGCCTGAAAGGGGCCAGAAAACGCGAATGTTCTTTCTCAGACACTCTCACAACCGCGGGGCCCCACTGCTCTCAGTGTGTGGCCATTGCCAGCCAATCCCAACTGCGCTGAGCACTCCCGGGGACGCGGCCAGGAAGACGGCTTTATTCGCACCTCCAATGCCTGCGCACTGCGGAGGGCCCGCGAGTCTGGTCCTGTTTGCTTTGGCTGGGGAGGGGCGCCGGCGTTCGGAAGGGGATAGCTCTTACGGAGGGAGGGTCAGTTTCGTGTCAGGCGGGTCCTCAGGCCCCAGCCAGCTCCATCTGGGAGCTGCCCGCACGGTCGGGCGCGGGGCG